TCATCATCTTTCGTTCTTGCATGGTGCACATGTCTCCAGACTCTATGTCCTATAGACAACGGACCAAGTAGAACCCAATCCAAAGGTGTCTTACCAGCGTAGGGTTCCTTCTGCTTGCTCAACCTCTTCTCCATGGGCCAATGTGCCTCTGGAACATCTTCTCCTATCAATATTCTCACACGCTTATCTGGAAGCTCCACAAAGGTAGTATCCTTCAGGCGATTATATTGACTAGCTATCTTCGTTGGGCTCATGATCGGTGGGCTGATGGGCAGAGAGCGTACTGTAGAGGCTTGTTCAGTCACTACGGTCTCACCTGAATCTGCCGATTCAAGCTCAGTTCTGAGACTTGCAGCCTCCACAGTGGATGTCCCACTCACTGTAGATAAATTCAAAGTTGTTGAAGTGCCAGTCAGACCAACCTCATTGAGTAAGTCTTTCGTTACCAATGTTACGTCCGACCCACTATCCAACAATGCTTACGTGAGAACACTGGCTTGCGGACCATTCACTTGAACCGGTACGACACCAATGCAGGCTCCTGATTCCGTCTGACATGTCGAGTTGCACAAAACAACCAATGTGGTTTTGTTTGCACCTTGCACTACGTGCAACAGATGATGTTGAGACCCCAAGCAGCTCTCTATACCACACTTCTTGGAAGAATCGCACTAGTTACTGGCATGGCCTGGTTTTAGGCATACAAAACATGACTCCTTCCTTCTCACCACACACCAGCTTGCTTGCATTGACAAGTCAGAAAACCTACGACATTGCGCCAGTCCGTGTTTCCCGTCGCAAAAAGGGCACCAGTCATCGGTTTCCTTCTGAACGGAGAATATATTATGGTGCCTTTCATTGCCTACCCGATGATGCTGCGTTTGAGGACGATGGTGTTCCGAGCCTATGGTAAGCATACCATAGCGGCTGCGAGCAATGCGGGCCTCGTGAGAAACGAAGTTGCATAGGTCAAAGAAACCTGTTTTCCAAGGTTGTCCATAGAGTCAGCCAACCTTGCCCACTTCCGACGAGCATTCTTCGATAACGTGCGGAGAATGCGCTCTACGGTTGAGAACGAATTTATAATAATAATAATAATAATAATGTTTATTCCCAACTTGTGGGTGGCATGCCGTCTGGTCTGGCATGACGTTTACAGTCAGAATGGGGCATTACTGAGGGATTTCCGGGTAGTGTTGACTGCGCGAAAAGGGGACAATGTCACAAACAAAACAGGGTACTCGATTAAATAATAATAATATGTTTCTCTTGCAAATTGTAGGGAACAATAGGCATGAGGTCTGAGTAATTTAGTGGCTCAGTTGGCTGACATGAACTAAAACTGGAAAACCATTGCTGGCCATGAGTGACCTTGGGCGGTTGGGTAAATGGCCGGAGTCATAACAAGCAAAAGTGGAGGTGGAGATAGGATAATTCGAATTAGGAGAACACGGCAAGTTTAGTCTCAAAAATATGGTGCAGTCTGAGAACAAGCAGACTTACTGGTTGCTCTGTTGTTGGGAAGTCAGGTGTAGGGGTTAGGTTGGATGGGGATACAGAGGTGGTTGAATTTGAACGAGTAGTCCAATAGTTTGGAATGAATGTCATGGTGGTCGATTGGGGTCAGTGAAACGAGTAGGAAAGAGGGCACGGTTGAGGGGAGGAATGGAACAGTTGCGGGTGTGCTATCACACTGAGTATGACAGTGCCGTGCCATCATTCGCCTGACATGATTCAGTTTTTGGACAGCCCCATGACGGACGTCACATTTGAGATGATTCGTCTTGGTTATGCAGTTCATTGAGCAGCGGTATTCATTTCAACCTGGTCGAGGAAACAAGCTCGAACGAAGCCGATATGGGACTGCAGGTTTTATTGGTCCGCTTGGTGATCCTGGAGTTGTAGATCATAGGCCAGGTGGATTGGAGATCAGCTAACCAGGTCGTCCAAAGCGGGCACTCCAGAAGCTTAAAGCTTGGGAAGGTGATGGGATGGGAGATTTGCAAAACATTGTGAGTTTGAGGGGACATGAAATAGGAAAATATGCTTTTATATACATAGAAAGAAAAACTTGGCGTCTGATGCAACTAGGATGATGACAAGTGATTACATGGAGTAGGGAGTAGATAGATTTGTACTTAGTAGGCTAGCGACCAGGGGCTGGTTTGGCTGATATACGGTATTATATTACAAGGGATCTAGTAAAAGCCGATATAAGCGCGCAAAAGTGTCGTATGGGAATCAGATGTGTAAGGGCTGGCGGGAATGAAATTCTGAGCTAACTGGTTAATGGAGTATTTATTACATGAGTTGGATATATACCAGGAGAGAAAGTGTGTGCTTGAGAAATAGTCACCAGTCCCCGAAGCACTGCTATCAGCTCTAATCTGTAGGAAGTGCATAGCGATGAAGACCCTGGTGTCTACCACTGTGAGTGGTGAGTAGATGTATTCTCTCTTTGGATGACGGAATGGGCTTTGGTGCGGTGTAGCCTCTGTCCTGACGAAAGCAGATACAACTATGCTCGCCGATGTAGGTCATAGGCATTGCAGAGTGTTTTCAGGCTATCCCAAATGATCTTTTATTTTTTTACAGATGAGAGTCCAGTTGTATCTCTTTTTGTATGATTCATCTGACTCAGAGCAACGTGACAGTTTTGAAGATTTATCGACAACGAGATAATGAATCTGCATCATCGTGTAACGTTTTCAATTTCTTGAACTGATCGTCCAGTATGGCGCTGGCCACCATATGTTCTCTCCCAAAGAGATCCTTAGGTATTTCTCTCGCTCTACCGTAAGCAATCTCCGGAGGTAACATTACGCATTCAGCTTCAGCTTCCTTCGCTGGACCCTTGCAGCAATGAATCAAACATAGCATTCTCGGTGCACTATCTTGCACTCTATCCTCTATGTAGTATTTGAACTGTTGAATAAATCTCTAATAACACCTTGGGTTCTCTCTAGGTGGGTCTGCCTTAACCACGCAAGAAGTCGGCTGGACCGCTTGCACCTCACATATGTGTGTTATTTACTATCCCGGCTGGGTTATCCTTACCCTGCGGGTGAACCTGCACGTCAACGACGGAATCATCGACGGAATCCAGCTCTTACTCCCCTAGACGCACCTCATTACGCGCCCGCATAAGCTGCAATTCTTTCTCCATTTCCTCTGCCCTAACCTGCGCTCGCAATAACGCAGCTAATTTTAATTTGTTATGCTTAGATGAGTCAGAGCCAGGGGATGAACCAATAGCTGAAGGATTGCCAGAACGGCCGACTAGCCTCGATTCCTCCGGTAGATAGCGATCCATTGACGGGGCTTTCTCCATCTTCTCCGAGTTCGTAGATCGTTCAGCACCCCTAGCAGCACAAGCAGTCCAAAATAACCGAGTTTTCCGGTTATTGCTTGGTTGAATAACGGCCAAATAACGGTGTGTTGTTTGTTTCTCGGTTGAATAACCGTTTGCCGGTTATTGCTCGGTTGAATAACCGTCGAATAACTGTGTTTTTAAGTTATTGAACGGCTAAATAACCGTGTTTTCCGGTTAGTACTCGGGTGAATAACCGTCAAGTAACCGTGTGTGCCGGTTATTGCTCGGGTAAATAACCGTCAAATCACTTTTTTTCCAGGTTACTGCTTGGTTAAATACCCGTCGAAAAACCATGTTTTTCTGTTGTTAAACGGTTGAATAACCGAGTGTACCGGTGATCGGACGATTAAATGACCCCCGTTAGTGAAATCACCACCATACTACCGTTAGTCGCTGTTACTGGACCTATCTGACGTTGTCATAACGGCTTAACATAGTATACGTAACCACGCATTAACCGCATCGTAGGGCCACGGAGAAGCTAAATAATGGTGCCGTGGCGTAGTCCTTCCTAGAGGGACTATCTGATGGCTTCTTGACCAATTATTAATCGAGTTCTACGGTTAAATAATCGCGCAAAACGGTTTGCGGGTAACAACCGCAACGTGACTGACCTACACTGGTAACCACACGCGTGCATATCGTCGTATCCATTGCAGAAAATAAACCTATTAACGGGATCTTAGGGAACGCAAAACAAGGATAAAAATATATTTGATATACGAAAATAACTGTTTCACAACCAAACCGAGTCAGTTCGGAGGCACGTCCAATTCGATTATCCCACCTTCTTGGTTCAATACGGACGTCTGAAAAAACGACAGTGAGCGAGCTATCTTTGATCACCTACCTTCGATCAGGGTGCAGTCTTGTGTGGCGGAAGGGAAGTTCGTCAACAGACCCGGCGTAGGCGACAATGACGGCGAATTCGTCAGCAAACGCCTGTCGGAGACATAGGCGCACTAGGTCCGCCATGGTGGCTGCTTTAAAAGACCGGAAGTATTTCATCTGTGGCCAAAAAAATGAGATCGACAACACTGAATTACCAGTTCCATTTGGCGTGGTCCCTCTGCCAGCTCACAGTTCAGTTGGTCCCACGAACGTTTGCTCCGGAGGGGGAAAGTAAAGCCGGTAGTTCCAGCAGAACTATGGACTTGTAACAAGGAGTTGTCAGTGCGGATCTTCAAGTAACGAAGATCTTCCGCCATTGCGTCCATTTTCCGATGCAGCTGTTCATTCTGCTGGAGCGGTGCTGCGAATCCTGGGGTTTGGAAGAAAGGGGCAGATGATGGGGGTGAAACGGAAAACATAGGGATCTCCGGAGCGGTGTTTAAAGCGTACTGTGGCGGACGGTGCACCGTCTGCGGCATCAAATCTACGGGCTGGTTGGATGTAGACGAGACGGGTGCGGGATGCTGGGGTACGCGCTCTGGAGTTAAGTAGCACAAGGCACGGGGTGTCGCCTGCGAGAAGCTGGAGTAAGGCGGGGATTGTGGCACCATCAACTTTGGTTTTTTCGGTGATGGACTGATGGAGAGGGAGGGGCTTCGTTCTCTGGTATTCCTAAAAGAAATCTTGACAACACGCACGGTAGTCTTACTTTCGACGAGGATGGTTACGACCCATCTCAATGGTTACATCCGAAGTCTCGGTCCGATGTGTACTGGAACTTCCCATGTTCGCGGTCCTTTTTGAAATCATCTGAAAAGTTAATGCGGCCTAAATGACACCAACCGTAAGTCCGAATGACTTCGCAATTCAGCTTCATTGATCCAGTTGGCAGCTCCAAATGAACGCGAACGGCCTTATAAAGGTTCTTTGAGTGAACTTTTGGCCATGTAGCATAGTTACCCTCAATCCATGAAGAACTGAGGACTGCACACTGCCATAGGCCTTGTTCATGGAACTTCACAAGACTGTAAGCCTGATACGGCATATTAAATTATAAAAACATTACGGTATAGAGTGCAATAATGGGAAACTACAAATAAGTCGTTGACCGGAAGCATGGCTACTGCCAACTGTGGACAATTTGTTCGCTACAAAAATATTTAGCAAAAGAGAATTAATGGGATGGGTGAAAAGTGGTAGAACGGGGGAAAGAAATGGAATGTACTTAGTTATGCAGTCGGCCGTGTCGGGATGTTCCACCCCTTTCACAATGCACGGGAAACCATCTACAAAAACAACGTTATCCGGCGGATTGGCAGATAAGACAACTTTACCGAGGTAAAAGAAACGCTTTTTATTCAGTGATGCTTGTTTCGAAGGAAAGCCCGCATCGCAATCGGCATGTTTAACTGGAGCGTTTTTGAGATACGATCCTCGTAAGGGAATGCTGAAAAATTGTCCAGAGGCCCGTGAGACGAGACGTTATCCGGTAAATGCAGCAGACAATGGACATTGTACGCCATCTCCTGCAAGCCATACAGTTTTTGGGACCTGTCAACAAATACTAGCAATAATTGCCGTGCATAATCAAGGCGGGGAACAGAAAAGCGACGATGAGAAAGAAAATACACGGATATAAATAGATCTATAACATTTTGATAACGTTCATAGGGAAGAATACCCTTAAACACAATAGGACCAATGTAAAACAGCAGCTGAGGAAACTCAGTCGCATTCCACTGTTTTTACTTTGTAATTTCCCGGCACTTACGCGATAATTCCACTGGTATATGGGAACGTATATTTTGAGTCATGCGATCTACCCTGTTCAAGCCAGCAGGCCCGATGCGTACGGGTCGATCACCGTTGGCGAAAATGGAAACTAGTCTACGGACAACACTGAGACATACGGTGTGCATATAATCTATGGGAAAGTAGTGAACGAAATTGATATGTAACGTAAAGAATGGAGTCGGACTGTTTCGAGTATCCCGACGTATACTGTTGTCAGTTCGCAGAACATGCTGCCCATATGGAAACGTTATCTTCGTTTGGAAGTATTGTCCCTTTAAGCAGCACTTATCACAACCATAGTAGGAATTGTGACCTCTCATTCGTGTGACGAAGGAGCATGCCGGTTTATCACAAACAATTGCATCCAACATGACCTGATGATTCAGGTCAATAACGACAACTCCCAGCTGCAGGAGCTTTTCCGGTTCCTACACTACGTCATGCAGGTATGTACAAACGTCTTCGGGTTTGCGAACTACCCCGTAAAGCCCAACAAGGAATACCGGGCTAGTGAAAGGCCGCACGATACGTGCTAGTATAGGCCAGATTACGGTGGTACCCTTATTGTGCAGCTTCATCCCGTCTACATTCATATACAAATGAATAATATGAAGTTGGGGTGGCAAGTAAATCAGCACAACCCGGCGAAGCCCGTTCGCAATGCCCAAGTGGATGTATTCTCCTGGGGGACTTCTCTAGTTGGACATGACCGGGGTATTCTCATTAGTGTCCGCGCGTCTCAAGGCAGTTCAGGAAGCTTATGCTGCAATGATACAAGCAGGCGATTCACGGTACTGAAGGGGAAATTGGTCGAAATCATCCAGTCTCGGAAAATGTCCGCCAAACTAGGCTGGAACATATTCTCCTCTTCATTATCCGCCTCATTTTGTTGTTCATCTAATTAGAACCGACTTTAACCGCCACATAACCGACTAATAACCGGGATCTGCTGCGTCCGTAGATTGTTGTTTACTAGATCCGTACTCCGTTGAGTACTGTTACGGCTATCTGCTTTCTGAGTTTGAGTCACGCGTGCAAATCCAGGAAAACGACCAAGAAATCCGAATTCTGGAATCATGGTACTATTGTAAATATAATAATATACATACTCAACAAACCTCAACGGATTCACCTCTGCAGATACCGTGAGGTTACAAAAATAAGGCGGTACAATTACCAGCCTGAGGATAAATCGCAGATCACTACGCCTAAAAATCGATATCGTCACAACCAAACAGATATCGACGGCGAGCAACCGCAAAATCCCAATGTCCGACCAAAGTCCGTAAGATTTATAAAAATAGTTCAGTAAAACAAGGTTTCAGTTCATCTGGTCAAGGGGAATAAATATGGGGAATGGCTGTCACATGGGGTTGTAAACGGGAGCACAATGTTGGTGGCTGTCTTCTACAAGAGGGTAACGTAAAAGGAATAGAATGAAAGTAGTAGCGCGTGGCGAGTGTTAGGAGGCCACACCAGCAGTCATTGGTAGTAATCGGCTGGTCACGGTGCACCCAAAAGCCCAAGTCTGCGTTCCTAGACCACCATCTGGGTTGGGGCGCAGTATACCTGACCACCAGCGGCAGGCCGTCAGTTGCAGACTTTGAGCCTAGACGCAGCAGTATTTGCCCCTGAACAATCGCTCGCTTAGAGGTGGCTGTGGTCCTCTTGGGCTCTAGCCTCTGAAGCTTATCCATCACTCGGTTCAGTTGTTTACGAAGGCCATCAAAAGCTGTCGGCGGTGGTTTGGGAACAAGTATGTGGGGCACATCTTTCACCGGTAGGTCGCAATCCGACAGCCATCGTTCGTGGATTTGGAAGCAAGCTAAGGACAAGTCAACAGTGAATAGTTCTTACTGCTCAGAACGGACTGATCTCGAAATACAGAGAACGAGCGTATGCCGGAAAGCCTTATCGCTTGGTATGAATGGTTTGTGCATTCTCCGGCACAGGTGTCAACAGTCTGGGAGCATCTGAGTGTTTGCACCACGAACTATAGGTTAGCTTACGTAGCTTGGCCTCACCTTTTTGTCCCAACATTTTCATACGACATCATCGGCGGTCGCGGTCGAAAGTGCCTCAAAACAAGAGAGCATGCATATGTTGTCATTTAAAAGACCACGTTAAGAACGTAGGCGTTATCATCTAGGATTTGCCGTGCGTCGAAGTGGTACAACGTATGTATCCGAACACCCGCGTGACTCGGCGTGCCGGGACACCTTTTGAATTACATGCTCCAACGTTTCGGAGTGGTGCACTTTGTCTTTAAGACGGCTTTCCACGTTCTCCACACCGTTGTTCGTCACATTACCGAAGTGAACCGTTCCGGACTGTGCGCGTATGGCCCAGTTCTAGGCAATGTGCACCAGAATGCCGTAAGATAGGAAACAAATCGAGGATCGGTGCGGTGCAGAAGCTGCAGTTCTCGCCGGAATCTGTGTGCTTGTAATACGGTGAAGAAATAACCCACTGTACGGCGTTGTTCGGGTGATCCCTGCGGTGGAACATGTACCAGCCGTTCGCAAAACGTGTATATGCCCAAAAATATGTGGATGTTAAAAGATACACGCGTGCTTCCTGATAGCTCTGCGGACATGAAAATAGCGAAGCATCACGCCACAGCTGAATACGACCCTAACTGCATGCATTTGCGCCGCCAACTTGTGCATTACAGATGTCTTGGCCAGATAAGTTTAGCCCATCATTGCCTTGAATAAGTCGAACAGTTTACGCATGGAAGCAAACTGTTCGCTCCCTACGAATGCTTGCATGACAAGACGACCGGTCCCCATGCCTTCCGTTATCAAGAAGATGTACCGCTTACAGGGCGGTTTGTAGCGTGCGTTCCGTCTACATTCACTACATCTAGAAAGCATCGTAACAGCTCTATCTGCTGCAATCGGGAGAAGCACACGTGGCTATAGCTACCTTACTCTGACTGGCACACAAGCACGCGTCCGGTCCCCCGAAGTTTTGCCAGGAGCGAAGGCATCTGCCACATTAAAACCTAACTATGCGGCACCTACTCAACATGGCCGGTCGACACTTCCCGCGGTAGTTGTACAAATCCTGAATGTTCTTACTGAATCCATCCGCCACAAACTGCCGCACCTCACATGAGGGCGTTCTATATTTCAGAAGGGCGTTGTAAGTGCCCGACTCGTCTTCCGTTAGCCGTCGAGTATCCGGAAGCTGGTCGTGCAGAAATTTTGACAATTTATGGTTGTGTTCCAGAAAATAATAGATGACTGTCAGTTAATTTCGTTGCCTGCGTAGACAAAACTGCATTGGACTTCTGGTGCTTCGCGTACTTTTTTATTAGAAAATCCGCTCGGATTACTAGTTTCTTCGGATTTTCCGGCTTTCCGTTGGTCTTGGGGGGCACCTGCTGAATTTGTAATACACCCAGTCGTAACGCAAAACAGCATTGGTGCTTTGATTACTGGATGAACGCACAAATACCACAAAGTTATCCTTCATGTACTGATATAAGGCCTTCTCAAATGCCGTGAAGGATGGAAACTATACAGCCACAAATTTCTCAACGAACATTTGTGAGGCCACTTTCGAAGCCATAGCGCACCAAGTTCAAAGCCGATTATGCACCGAAAACTTCGAAAGGAGATCAATCAAAACAAATTGAAAAAATTGCAGGCAAATGAGGGTGATTTTTGGACCGGATTACATACCAAAGAAGTGCAACCTTTTAACGTTAAATTTTTTATTTCACCAGAAAAATGCATTGTGCGTCAAAATGCGCGGCGGTCTCCGTTATACGTAGAAACTTTTTAAATTTTAGGGAGTTGTGATATGTAGGCGTTACCATACTTTGTAGTTCACGCGATCACGCGACTTGCTGCGTCATCCCCATTCTGATTGGATGAGAACTAGATGGCGGGAACATTCAAAACGGCAGCATGGCGGATTTGCGGTTTATGATTGACCCTCTGAAACGAAACAGAGGGTTATAATGCGGCTCTGTCCTTTAAAAATTTACATCGGTAACAGATTTGCTGATCTAATGAACGCAAAGAGTATGCGATTCCCGGAAGTTTGAGATA